CACTTCTGTCCTGATATATATACCTGAAAATACCAGAAGTTCTGTGACTTTAGTTGCCCAAGCCATGCCACCTTTCTGTTTTTCTGTGGCTGTCTTTTGAGGTCTAGGTCTACTCTTCAGAGACTCTCCTGAATGTGATAATGAAGACGTCAGACACACTGAGTACTGGACACTAGTCTAGGTGCTTTATACATATTAATCCTTGAGCATCCCGAGGTTGCTAAGCAGCAAGGAGGCACAAAGCTGAAGTGACAGGCATGCGGCCATCTGGTTAGGGGATCTGAAGCAAGGCAGGCTCTGAGCCAGAGGGCCGACCTAACACACTGCCACAACAATGAGCTTCCTCTCACAGTTTGATGGCTGAAGGTTCAGCTCAAAAAAGTTTATCCCTGAACCTAAGCTTATTCTTTGGATAGGGCTATACCAGCTGAGTGAAGACTGAATGACACCAGGCATTGCTTCCATCCTAGCTCAGACACTCTTAGTTTTGGGTCTGACATACTGGGAGGGTATCTCCCTGGAGGGTATCTCCTCTACAGAGAGGTGCAGTGTAGAGCTGGGGGAAGGAGGAAAGGATCTGAGTCAGGGCTCAAGGCTTGAGCAAACAGACTGGTAGTGATTCATTATAATTGCCACCCCTTTCTCCCTGGCCTTGCCTTTTCAGGGTCCTGGGCTCTGGTGCACAGGACTGGTCACCCAATGTCAATCTGGCCCCTCTGGACCTTTAGCTTTGTGTCTTCTTCCATTCTCAATGCTTGGTGACATCTTCTAATAACTTGCTGGCGAGAGACCTGTTCTCTTGCTCCCCTGAATGTCTACACAGTTATCCTTCTCATTCCTCAGGACAGTTACAGTCTGGGCTGCCACTCCAGCTGGCCAGCCCTCTGCCTCCAGACACCACCACCATCGCGGAGCACACCGGGCCAGATGGCTTGCTCAGCCTCCTCCGGGCCTCAGGGGAGGGAGGCGCAGACTCCTGGACCTCTGACAGGAACCTCTTTCTGAGCTCAGTCTCCGTAGTGACACACCCTGCAGGGCAGCAGCTGTGACTGATCCTGGGTTCTAGGCCTTGTGCCGTGACACAGAGCTGCCAGAGAGCAAGGCATCCTGGGAGGGCACAGGGATGGAGAGCTCCCAAGGGTAACAAGTGGGGGCTTGGTAAAGGATAGGCAGGTGAGTCTAGAGGGCGCTGGAGGAGGCAAACCTGAAATTGGGGCCCACTCATGACATCACAGGCCAGGGAGAAGAGCTATACGCAGCACTGTGAAAAGCCAAGGGCCTAGGGCTCAGAAATTTAATTTTAATTCTCATCTAGCCATGCACCACTCGGGCCTATGCCTGGTACACCACCCTCCTGATAAATTATGGGCATAAGAAACAGAAATAGCTAGAAATGCCCTTTACCAGAAAGATCACAATCTCTCTCTCTCCTTCTCTCTCTCTCTCTCTCTCTCTCTCTCTCTCTCTCTCTCTCTCTCTCTCTTTCTGTGTGCACGTGTGTGTGCATGCGTGTGTGTGTGTGTGTGTGTGTGCACGTGTGTGTGTGTTCCGTCTAGTATAGAGTTACTTTCCCCCTGTCAGGCAGGCTAAGTGGTTGGAACTCAGGCCTCTGCCCTAGAGTGTGAACACTATTCCTGCTATTCCTGGACTCTGCCCAACTCACAGAATGGGACTGTCTTCTCATTCCTTTCAATGGTGCCCCACCCTGATAGCCATCCTAAGCTCCTGCTGTTTGTGGGACTCCCTTCCCAAGGCACAGAACACCCAGGTCTGGGGGAAGGTTGCCTTACAGAGATACAGAGGCCCCCTTGAGCAGTACAGGCTTAGCAGGGAACGTGCATGTTGTGTGCCCTTGGTCTCCAGGGCTGTGGACATGCAAGGCTCCTCACTAGAAGGAATCATGGTATGTTTCTTATGAACAAAATAGAGAAGACTTGAACAGACAAACCACCAGACCCAGGCCACAGAAATGAGCCCCTTAGGTGTGAGGTAGTGAATGAGGTCACTTAATACCAAAGAGACCTGGACAGCCATCAGTCCACAGAAGGCCTTCACTGCCACACCGGGTCTCACAGGCGCTGTTCAGTTTGGGATGAGTGCTTCTGAGGTGAAGCAGAAAAAGGAAGGACCTCACAGACAGAAACAGTAGAGTCAGGGGAGTATTCTGAGCTTGCAAAGCAAATGCCCTGGAACCCTGGCAAATTCTAGTTACCACAGAGGGGCAAATTTTCCTCGGCACTTTGGTGGGGATGTTAGGTTAGTAGAGCATCAAGCACCTACGAGGCACCCAGCTCTCCAAGGCCTCTAGGGTCTGTCCTGTCTAAGAAAAGTCTGAGGCACAGCAGGGCCTGCATCAGCAGAGGGGGCCCAGGCCACAGAAGCTGCTTGTCTGGGTATCTTTTGGGGGTCTGCTTGTCAGTATTAAGATTTGAAAGTTTTAGATTTCACTGCCCCCACAGTGGTGGCTCCAATTTCTTATCAATCTAATACTTGTCTGAAATGATTCATGGAAAAATATCTTTGTGACCAGTAGACTTGTGGTGCAGAGTGTGGTTTCTAGATAATTGGTATCTAAATACATACACGTGTGTACAGTGCTATTCAAACTCGGTGGCCACCACCACATGCAGATAATGGACTCCTGCCACAGGGAAGCCTGCTGTAGCTGCTATGAGCATGGGGGGAGGGGCACTTGAGGGGCCAAGTCAGATGCTGCTGTCAAAAAATGCTGGGGTTGGGGTGGCGGGCCACAGTCTGAGGGTAGAGCAGCCCAGTCCAGTCCAGGGCAACAGGCCTAGTTCACCTTCTCTAAGCTGGCTTTGCCGGGGCCCGGCTCGGGGCCTCACACCTCTCGAGAACCTTACCAAACAGCAAGGAAGTCTCCTCCTCTTCTCTCTCTAATGCGGTTTGCCTAGCCCTTGTTCTTCCCCAGCCAACTTTTGCAACCGCAACACTTTCTCCACAAAACAGAAACAGCTGGGGTGCAGGGCCTGCGATCTGGCTCCACCCCCCACTGCATGGGCTTGACTTTCAGAATGCCTTGGGTTTCAGCTGCAGCCTCGTTTTGGGCCTCCCCCAGCCTTCCAGAGAAATAAACTGATGTTGACATCATAACGGTATCAGTAATAGTAATAAGGATGGCAGCATTTATTCCTCTCATTACTCAAGTGTGTGTGTGCCAGGCCACTATCAAGTTACGTGTCTTCCGGTTACAGGCTTTATGGCACGGTGGTTATGAGCACAGCCTCTACGGCCTTGGCTAGTCATTGAGTCTCTCTGTGCTTCCATGTCTCATGTATAAAATGAGTACCTCCTTCCTGGTAGATGTGAAAGACAGGAACACACAGCCATAAAGTGCTCAGCATCGTGTCTGATAGAAAGTAAATACTCACTGAGCGCTGGCTGCCTTCCTGGAATCTGTTCACAGTCTTCTTTACCACTGCTGTGTTCACAGCAGGGGATATGGAGCGCTGTGAGCTGGAGAACCTTGCACAAAGGTCTCAAGGTTAATGAATGTAATGTCAGTGTCGTTAGTTGTACCCGGGCCACCTGGTCCACAGCACCGCAAGCTCTGCTCCAAACACTGCTGTACACAGGAGTAGCAATGCTTCCAACCAGAGCATGGAAATACACCTTAGTTTGTGTGCTGTGTGACTGCAGAGGTCCTGGAGAAGGGGACCTTGCTGTAGAGCAGGCTGATGTTCCCCGAAGACAACAGAGGCAGCTGGGGAAGGCCACAGGCCACCTTCCTTCTTGGGGGCTCTTTCCCTGTCCTGGGCTCTCTTGGGTAGCAGTAAGTACAAACAGGGTTTCCAAAGGCAAGTGAGGGTTTTTCCCATGAAGGAGAACACAACTTCAAGCCCACAGGAAGGTACATGCAGCACATACAGTTAATTGGATATATATACATATACATGTACACTAAACATTTGTTTTAGGGGGATAGGTCTCTCTACAGAGTCATGGCTGTCTTAGAACTCACTAGGTAGACCAGGCTGGCCTCGAACTCATAGAGATCCACCTGCCTTCGTCTCCTGAGTGCTGGGATTAAAGATATGCACCATCATGCCCAGATTATTTGGGTTATATTTTTAAGAGATTTAATTAAAACTTTTAGGCTTTTTAAAATTATCTTAAGTGTTTTGCATATGTGTGTGTGTGTGTGTGTGTGTGTGTGTGTTTCACACGCATGCTTGGTGCTAGTAGAGGTCAGAAGAGGCCACCAGACCCCCTGAGACTGGAATTACAGATAGTTATGAATGGTTGTGAGCTGTTATGTGGGTGGGAATCAAACTCAGATCCTTGGGAAGAGAGCGGCAGTGCTCTTAACCACTGAGCCATTTTCCAGTTCTGGTGTATTACTGTTAAAAAAAACCTTTAGGAAAAAGGTTTCCAAAGAGTAGGCCTCTGAGGACCTACAACTAGAGCCCTGTTGTCTGGCTTACGTGAACACTCAGGCATCCCTTTCTCAAGCCCTCGTTGGGTCACCCTTGGAAGTCTACAACCTGTAGATGTGTTCAGCTTAGAAAGGGCTGGGGCTCTGGAGATCACAAAAACCTGCCAGGGCCCCTAAGAAACAAGTAGCTAGGGCAAAACAGACCCAAGATTCCTTATAACAGTGGCACTGCCATCAAAAGAGGTGACAGCTAGCACTGATGGAGGGCCAAAGTGTCTGCTCACTCAGCCCCACTGCCACCTTTCCAGATCAGCAAAGATGTCTCATTTTGTAGCAGAAACCGAGTTTCAAAGAGCCTAGCTAGTACACGTTAAGCTAACCAATTCCATATGGAGGCTAAAGCCCACTTCCTAGCCTCAATGACCCCCTTAAAGCATCTGCCCTGGGTAAAGAAACATCACATTATACATGGGCCTTCATCTGCCTGAGCACACAAGCCTCCCCTCACACAGGTTGGCTAGCACCAGGCTTCTTGCCCGGTCAGCAGGTCAATGTGCACTTGCGAGCATTCCCTACTTGGTGCTTGGGCAAGACTGATACCTACCGTTCATTGTTCAGGGTCATTCTTGGGGGGTCCAGGTTGGGGTTCTCCATGGACTCCATCTGTGGACACCTCAGGAAGTAGTAGAGTGTGTGAAGAGCATCGGGGGACCATGTGATGGGCTGTGGTGGCTGGCGGGCCTGGCGTGCGGGGCTGGTGCCGGGGCACAGGGGGTGGCGCCCTTGCATGTGATGCATGGCTCGCGAGACCAAGTCACCTGGAGAGAGGAAGGGGAAAAGGCCAGAGTCTGAGTTCCCAGCCCACATTCTCCTCGGGTGGCAGCACCCTTCGCTCAGCGTAATTACTGTTTACCCCAGAGTCAACAGGCTGAGGAGGAGACGGTCACCTAGACCACAATAGCAATTTGGTTTCCCTTTCATTCCCAGTCTTGCCTCAGCAGCTGAATTACAAGCCCTTGGCAGAGCTGACTCCTCCAGAACTTATGCTAACGTGGTTTCCTTTTCAACATCTCTACTCTCTATACCGCCCCAGGGGCCTTCCCTCAGTTCTCTGACCATGGGAACCGGCCAAGCACAGGCTCTGGAGTCTCCCCTATGTTATCACGTGCAAAACCCGGGGACTTTGGATGATAAAGGCTGCCATCATCCACTGAACACTCAACTATACACAGAGGATGCAACGCCTTAGAAATAGAAGTCAGCTTACTCCCCACAGTGCTAAGGATCAAGTATATAGCCACATTTAAATGAAGGCATTGAGACTTATCTGCTGAACATATCCAAACTTATGTGTACATAAGTTATGAGCCTATAGTACAGTACATGGGCTGTGTCAACCTGCTGATTCTAAAACCCATGAACTTCACGTGCTATGGGCTGTACCCTGCCTTACTGGAATCTGTGGGGTCATAGGTCCCCATATCCTGTGTTGTGTTTCTTAGTCTTTTCAACATCCCACCAGCCCCTGACAGGAAATGTTCCATCATTGTGTGAGGCCACAATGCTGAGAAAGGATGGTCTGAAACAGCCCCAAGCACCTGCAGGCACCCCTGTTCTGGGACGAGTGGCGCCTCTGTGTTCTCTAGGCCTGAGAACTCAGAGCAGACTGCCACAGATGGCCCTTCCCACAGGAAGCCTTAGAAACCCAGCTAAAGTCGGAGTAGCAGAAGCGACCAGGTTCTGACTGTGCCTACAGTTGCTTTAGATCAGCAAAGCCAATGCGTTACTTTATCTGGCCAGCCTCCATCACTCAGCTTATGGGTGTCTGGTCCTGCATTTCTTGTGTTCCTAGAGCCCGCAGTCTGCCACACACAGGTATTCAGAAATGCCTGGTGAATGAATGGAGCAGTCTTGTGCAGGAATTTCATTTCAACAATTTCATTTCAAGGCTTGACTTAGGCATACTGGTTGCCACATTCTCCCAGTACAGCCACAGTGGTGGTGACTGGGTTCAAGCAGGGATAAATGAACAGAATTGGAACACCCCACCCCAAAGAGTCTTCCGTGTATTATCTCCAACCAAGGTGGACACAAAAGACACAAAGAATCCCTCCTGGTTCTTTTCAGTCCTCAAATTACAGTTAGCTGCCTTGGGCCTCGGGCCAATTCCAGGGTGAAAAGGGGATCCTGATACTGGCCACGTCCAGCAACTCTTGATTGCCTTGGTCCAGGGCAAATCCTTCGGTGATTTTAATATTCAGTCAGGTTTAAACATCATCCCCAAGAAACCTGATCAGAGCCCAGACTTCAGAGTCTAATACTTGTGGCTTCAGACTGAAGGTCAGTTACTGCTAGTCTGTGTATCCTAAGTAAAGCTCCGAGCCTCAGTTTCCTCATCTGTGAAATGGAGATGCTAGCACAAAATCAGTTTTGAGGAGTCAAAGGAATAATAAAAAAACAAGTCCTGACTAAAACTGAGGTTAACACATCTTAACCTCAGAGCCATCTCACCATGCCCAGGTTAACACATCTTTGACAGCCTCCACCACCATTCCTCCATCTTTCCTGAACCCCTGGGGTTCTCACAGAACCACTGCTCACACACAAACACTGCCCCATATTTCCCAAGAGAGGAGGAATCTGGTCCTGCAACACCAGCTCCTGGCCCTGCCTTGGGGCTTCTGGGTGGCAGAAACTGGCATCAAAAGCAGCAGGAAGCTGCGCCTCCAGCCGTCAGTACCAGCTAAGTTGGTGGCAAAAAGCCGAAACCTGGCTCCTCATTCTCTAGGTCTAAATGTCACAACAGTTGATGAACCACAGGACTACGAGAAATCAAAGTGTCTGAGATAGCATCAAAGAGAGGTTGTGTTGAAATACCATTCCGAAGGATGGACAAGGTGAGGCCATTAGCGTTAATTATTTTTATTGTTGTTTTATTGTTATTGGTGCAGCACCCTTTGGCAGCACATTTCCAGCCAGAACGCAGGCGAGAGATGCAGGACAGCAAGGGAAACTGCTTCTGGAGTTTCCTTAAAGGAAAAACAGGACACGGGGGCTCAGAGGTTCAGAGAAACCATGGAGGCAGAAGAGAGGTAGCCAGCTTCTTCAATCTAAATCCTTGCTAAGGGCAGCTTTTCTCCAAAATCAAGGGAAAGATGCTGCAGACAACTCAGACAGGACTTTTGGGAAAGCTTAGGCAGCTCCATCAATGGCCAAAGCCACGGCTCACCTTAGAGCCTCTCCTTGGGTGATTTTTAGCTTCTGTCATTTTCTATTTTTTAAGCTTTATGATAGACATAAAACACAGGCAAAAATCTCAACTGATCTTTAGATCCACCTTGGAAGGGGGTATTTATTCCCAGGAGTGCAAGGATGGGCCACAGCTGCAAGCTAGCGTGGAAGCTGGCGAGGACTGTACCTGGGGCTCACCTCCCCCACCAGCTCTGGAGGGTGGCATCCATAGCACACGAAGTGCGTGTGACCTGTGAGCTGGGGCAGGCCACTCATTGGTACTGGCTATAGACCTGTTAACAGCTCACAGGTTAACTCTAGAAATGAAGAGTGACTTTTTAAAAAGATACCCGTGGCTCATTTGGTAGAGTGCCTGCCTAGCATGCCCAAAACCCGGGGTTTGATCTTCTGCCTGGGCATGATAGGACATGCCTACAATCCCATTTAGGAGACAGAGGGAGAAGAATCAGGAGTTCATCAGCTGTACTAGAGTGTTTGAAGCCAGCTTGGGCTACATGAGACCTTGTCTCAGGAAAGAAGAAAAGAAAGAAGGGCAAAAAAAAAAAAAAAAAGATATCCATAGCAATTTGACAGTAATTTTGTGTTTATCTAAGAATAATTTTTAAAAATCAGCCTTTCATTTTACACATCTTATTTCATTTTTTCTAGCTACCCTTCTTTAGGGTATTTTGCAAAGTTTCAATCTGTAATTGAGGGCAAACATATCTCTGGTCCCTTGGCACAGCTCATTCCCGAAGCCTTGAGGTGACTGGGCCGGGCCCTTGCACAGGTGGACGCTTGGTGCTTTTGGAGCATCCCCGTATTGTAGTTGAGAATCAACTGATCCCAAGTTCAATGAAACCTTGGCCCCATGCCTAGAAACACCCACCAGGCATGGGAAAACAAGCCCTCGCCACTTACTAACCATGGAAGACTTGATTAAAGGTGCTACAGGTTTCATGCAGCTCGTTCCAGCCCTCATTATGAGCCATCAAATAAAAACAGCAGGCGAGAGAGTCTGGAATATAGCACCGTCTTCAGAATAAGGCCTTAAACATCTGGCCACCCTTAAACAGAAGGGCTTTGCTTCCTGCCCATTCCTTCTCTTTAAAATCCTCATGGGTACAGAGGGTGAGAGAAAAATCTGAGGGCCAGGGCCCTCCAGGCAGCTAGACCTGTTACAAGAATGGATCTTCCAAACTTAGCAGGCCGGCTGGTCCTGGGCTAGGCACGGAGAGTTGACACATGGAAAGTCCAAGGTGAATTCTACATCCACGGTGCTCAGTGCCAAGTATCACTAGCCTCATTAAGGTCTTTAGTTTCTGAAACAAAATTAAAATACCTGCCTCCACCTTTTTCCCCTCCCTTGCAGTGTAGGTTACCAAAACCTTCGGTTTCAGAGGGAGGGACCAGGCAGTGTGGCCCGTGACACAGCCTGTTCTGCTGTCTCTTAGAAAGGTGCACTGGGGATGTCGTTTCTCGGTATCCTAAGGAGTGGCCAGGCCAGACCAGAGACCAAGCCCAGGAGTTTCAGGAGACAGACTGGGCGGGACAGACCTCATCCCTTCGAATGCGCCTGTGGACTTTCACTCCTGTGCACACAGAGAGCACCAGGTGCTGTTATCTGTGCTGGGGAACTTTGCGGACTGGAGAAACGCAGTAGGCAAAAGTGAGCAAGGCCTTGTCCTTGTGACACTAACAACTTCTAGTCAGAATGGAAAACTAAATTCCTTAGGAGTAACTATCTAGGTTTCCAGTGGTGGCTTGTGTTCTGGATGGAATGGAGGCTGCGGATGAGAACTGGAGCAAGAACAAGGGGCTTCGGGAGGCTCCAATGACTTAGTGCCAGAGCCCAGTTTCTGAAATCTTTTTAACACCCACCCCCAGCTCCGCCAGGCCCCACCCTTACTCAGCTCTGAGATGCTGCCCACACACGTGGCCAGGAGAGACTGCTCCAGCGTCCGCAGCTCCAGCTGAGCATAGGCATCGGCTCGCTCATCGTGGCCCAGGGACCCACTGTTGTAGGGACTGAAGTAGGCTGGGAGGGACAGGACACCTGTGGGAGAAACAAGACGCAGAGGTCACACTGAGAGCGGAGAGAAACCTGCAGAGCAGACCACAGCTTCAGTGCCCTACCCTGTCCTGACAGAGCAGAGTCATAGGACAAGCCCCCCTCCCCCAGCCTTGGGAAGGTGGGTCTTTCCTCTGCCTGGTGCCCGGTAGTCACAATAAGAGAGAAGTGGACCTCTTCGGTGAAGGTTTGACCCACATGTAGACAAACTTTGGAACTGTCAAGAAACTAGGCTATAGACTCGGGCCCTACATTGAGCATTTACAGCAAGCTTTGACTGAACCAGAGTGCTCCTTTTTTCAGGGTTCTGGGGTGACACTGAGCCCCAGCTTTTTTTTCCATAGCATTTGGGCTTGGTCAGTTCAGGTGAGCACCTGTTCCTTCAGAGGCCAGCTGCCTGCAGAGTCCTCTCACTTCTCCAGCAACCCATTTCTCCTTTCAGCCCAGGAGGCCGGAGCCACCACTGGGGAGGGATACTGCCCTCTCTACTTTACAAAGGGGACTGTCCCAGCCCCTGGCCAAGGCCCATTAGTGTTTCTCATTAGCACTTCAACAAAAGGGAAGAGATTTCAAATCCATCCCAGGGGATGCCAGCTCGTAAATCTCTCCAGCTCGCAGCTTTAGCATGTACCAGCAATGCAGAACCTGTGGCGTGGAGATGCCAACTGCACGCAGAAACTCCTAGGTTTTACCCACATGTAGAAATTCCTAGGGCAGGAATTTCCAAATTCCGGGAGCCATTGCTTCTCTGGTGGAATGTTCAAACTTCTGCCTAGTATTTGTTTATGTATTGTTAAAAAAAAAAAAAAAAAAAACCTCCATAGAAATCTAGCCATTCACTTTGGAGGTGAAATCTAAAATTTCCTGAGAAAACTGGAGAGTTTTTAGCATGTGGGCAAGACCGAGTTGGAGTCCCCTCTCTGGCATGCAGGGAGGTGGTGAGGGTATGCAGCAGCAGGGGGTGGTTAGGATAGGCTCTGGAGTTCATAACCGCTGGCTGACACGTGACTAGCCACGTGATCTTGGGCAGGCTACATGGTCTCTCTGCTGACTAGAGACAGGTGTGGGGGACCATAAATCATTCTCAGGTAGGTTTCAGATCCGGTTAAGATGGTCCTAGAAGGTGTACACTTGTCCCCTAGGTGTCCAGAGTTAGTGACCACACCTCCAAGGCTCACACTGCCCCTGTGAATGGCTCTTGTGCATGAGAACACAGCTGGGTAATGCTAGGCCCTTTGACTCATGCGTGCTCCCCCCCCTGAGTCTGTGACATTTCTCTCTTGTGGGACAAAGGCACACGGCAGTCTTCCTCTAGCCCGGGCCCTTCTTGGCGCGTCTCTGTGGATCATCCTGCAGGTGCAAGTGACAGGTCTGTCAATCCATCCTCCTTGGTACCAGACTGAGGCTAATCCTCTCTGGGCCCTTACCCCCACCACAGTAAGATTTAGCTCCACAAGGCCTGAACCAAAGCCTTCCTCAAATATTTATTTCCACAGGAGGAGAAAGAGCACGTGACTGGATGACTCTTAACCCTTGCCAGGGTCCTGGTCCCTAAAACAGAAATTCTAATTGCTGGGTCAAACACATTAGGACGAGTTGGCCTCTGAGTATTAAAATGAGTTGAACAAAAGAAGAGAAAGCTACTCAAGTGCAGCTACAGCCCCAGCAGCCGGGGTGGGGGTGGGGCTCCTGCGGCAGCCTAGTGCGGTCCTGCACCTCCTCCGACTCCCTTCCCACTGACAGAAACAGCACTGGGGACATGTGGATCACATCTGCCGGGCTTAAGGCAAGGGCACAGGAAATTCAGCTGACTTGTCAAAGGCCTCCCAGTGAGAAGTTTTATGTCACTAGATCTGGCAGCAGGGGCGGGCAACTCCGCTAGTAACTTCCTATTTTGTCAGTTGTCAGCCATCCAAAGGGGCTGAATACGGTGGCAAAAGTAATTAGGAACCTGTTATTAATAATAATCAGAATCACAGCTTTGAAAGACTTCCCTATCTATTTTATAATTTATTCTTCCATCAAGGAAAACAATGAAGACAGGACTAAAGCTGACTTTAAAATATTTTTGTGTGTTCATAGAACGTGCGTGCAGCGCACATGCATGTATGGAGTATGTACACATGTAAAGGAAACGGCCTTGAGTGTCCATGCATACTCAGAGGTCAGAGGCAGCCATCCAAGTGCTCTGCTCTACCACTCTCTCACCTAGCCTGGACTATACTGGTAACCAGAGAGCCCCAGTGACCCTCTTGGGTTACAAGACCATTTGCAGCCACATTCAGTTATTCTGGCTCTGGGGTTTCAAACACAGGTCCTGACGCTTGCACAGCAAGGACTCTGACCCATGAAGCTGTCTCTCTAGTTCCCACCGCAGCCGACTTCCTAAGTTTTCTGTGTCGAGCATTGTGAGAGCAGCTCCCACATTATTTCACTGAGCCCCTCAGACTTCATGAGGTACGATGCTCGCCCTTCTTACAGATGACACATGCAGGCAGGACGATGGTCACAGAGGTTACCAGAAACTGAAAACGGAGCTGCTACAATTGAAACTCATCACTGAAGAGATTCTTAGCTGCTGAAATGAAATGGCATTTTAATTTTGATCACCTTGCCCATTCATATCAGTGATTCTCAACCTTCCTAATGCTGCGACCCTTTGATACAATTCATCATGTAGTGGTGACCCCCAATCACAAAACTATTTTCATTGCTACTTCATAACTATAATGTTGATGTTGTTATGAATCATAATGTAAATAACTGTGTCTTCCGATGGTCTTAGGTGAACGTACAGCACTGTGTGGAGGTCAGAGAACAACCCTGGATATCAGTCCTCAAGCTCTTCCACACCTTTTGTCTGAGTCAGGGTTTCTCTGGATTGAGCTTCGCCCTGCAGCCAGGTATATGGCCCCCAAGCTCCCGGGGCTCTGCCTAGTCTGCATCCTCCCTGCCATCATCACTGGGATCACAAGCCCACAGAGAGCTATGCTCTTCCACCGGTCAGGGTTTCTCAGGGCCACCCCATCCTTGAATCTTGGAACCCCTGGCTTTGCAAAGCTGCAGCCTCCTGCTTCTCTTCCACTCTTTTTGATAGAACTGCATCCACTTGGTTGCAAAGCAAGAGATATCTGAGCATCCTCCACTCTCTGGTGACATCCTTCCATGCCACCAACTGGCCACCAAGCCTTACTGCTTTAACCACCTCAATATTTCAAAATTGGCCACTGCCCTGCTCCTCACAGTCTGCAGCTCTCCCAAGCCTCCTCATTGCCCCTAAGGAAGAAATCCAAGTGCGTTTGTCCAGGGAAGACTAGACAGTGTCTTTCCTTGTCTGAGACACGGGAGAGGAGTAACTCTGCTAGTCAAGTGGCAAAGCTCCCAGCATGTCCCCGGATGTCAGCACTCGGGAAGCCCAGCACACTAGACTGTGGCTGTTTTCTCAGCTGACTGCAGTTTATAGGTGGGGGTGGGAACAACCCATTTTCTTCCCAGCTGATTCCTACGAGTGCCCAGAGAGGGTGGTGGTGTGGTAGGTGGAAAACTCCACCCTAAAGCCTGGGAACCCGCCTTCTCACAGGGAGGCGACACCCAGGAATTAAGCCTGGTTTCTGCTTGCAGAGGCGCAGTCTCTCCCGAGCACATGCCATTCCAGGAGCGGAAGGGCAGCAGACCTAACCAGAAGTTTAGTTCAAATGAACAGAGGATGATTTCAACTGCTTCTCTGAAATATAGGACCCATTTAAAGGCGCCTCAAGTCCTCTCTAGCACTTGAGTGGACCCCCAAGCACTCCCCACGTTTGCCATTCTAGTACTTAACTGCTAACTGGTCAGCAGTGACAATAAACAGAACTGGTGAGTGCTGATTTCTCTGTGTTCATTTCACAGTCATAGCAGCATGTGTGTGCATGCACATGTGGGTACATAAGCACAAATACGTGCATGGGTGTGTGTGTGTGTGTGTGTGTGTGCACATTTGGGTACATAAGCACAAATACGCGCATGGGTGTGTGTGCGCATGCATGTGGGTACATAAACACAAATATGTGCATGGGTGTGTATATAAATACCCCCCTCACTTTCCATCCTGACAATATTAATGTAAAAATGTCTTTTTTTTGTGTGGGACTGAATGCAGTTTAGATTTTCCCGATACTTCATTCCAAAGCCAGCCAGGCTGTAACATAAGTGCCCTTCAAACTCAACAACCCATTTCCAGCACTCTTCCTAGCCTTGTGAATGACTTCTACAAGAGTAAGTCTCCTTGCAGGCCTGTGGCTGCAGCCCCATTTCCCCTCCTTGGTACAGGGACCCTCGTGCATGTGCTAAGACAGCAAGGACCACCACCTACCCCACATCTTTCAGAGGAAGTTACTCTTTGACTGCTCTCATGAGGAAACACGAGGTGCTGGGTGGAGTTCCATCTATAAGCTTCTGAAAACACAATCTGTATTGCCTGCCCCCAAGAAATGGCTTCAAATAGCCTGTACCGTCCTGGTCCCCTCCTCCCCTTTAAAAAGGGTTTCTATTCTCTGGTTTGGATTTTGGCATTGTGGTGGGGGTGGGATAAGGAGTTGATGTATTTTTCTCAGACAGGTTCTCATGTACTTTAGGTTGGCTGCAAACTCCCTATGTAGTTCAGGATGACTTTGACCTCCTGGGCTCCTCTATATCCCAAAGCTGGGATTCTAAGCTTATGCCATCATGTTCAGCTTGAGATGAAATTTTATATATAGAACATCTAACACCCTGTTGTTGTCATCTTAGGACAAAGTATTAAGAAGCAAAGGCAGGAATATTTCTCAAAGAGATTCAAGTGGGGCACAAGACAGTGGATCCTAAACAAAGCTTTATTTGAAGGGTATTTATCCTGACAGACTAAGCTCAGGGCATGGGTGCTGAGGAAAGGAAAGAGGAACAAAACAAGAAGAGAAAGTTGAAAAGCAGATTGAAATATGCCTGATAAACTGTCAATCATTCCCATG